TTATTCATAAAACATAAGTTTCAACACTTGCAATTTCTCATAAATTTAACCATAAAAAAAATCTCAAATTCAACATCTCAAGTTTTTAGGGTTTTATCAAAATTTGAGAATTTCTCATTTTAAAAATACACTCCTTAATTCCACGAGTCATAAAATAACCATACTCAACCAATAAGAAACTTTCAAAAAGAATTTGAGAACTTTCCCCTTTTATACAATAAATACAACTTTAATAAAAACTCAAATCTCTTCAAGTGTTGTACTATCAAAATGACACATAATAATACCAAAACACATGCATAATGTTTAGAAAATTCCTACCTCAAAAGTTAGAAGATGAGATAGGCAAAAATCCCAATTTTTTATATTGTCAGATTTGATCTCCACCGGTCAAAATATTTCCCTTGAAATGCTTATCAAAATGACATTAGAATTATGGCCAAAAAATTATTGGATTTGTGAGGATTGAACAAAATGCAAGAGTTTTGTAGTTTGGTTAGAGAGTAGGATATCCAGAGAGCCGAGAGAGAAGTGGTGGCAGAAGAAAAGAAATCAAGAAGTAAAGAAGAAGAAAGAAGGAATAAGGGAAATGAAGGGAATGGGGAGAGCAGCACCTACGTTGGTCTAACTCCTTGAAAGTTGTTCAATTTATTTATTTATTTATTTTTTTCAAATATCCATATATAGATATACATACACTTATATATATATATATATAATCAAAATTATATTTTAATAACAATATATATCTTTTTCGGGGCGTTACAAAAGATAAGTGACTAATCATACAAGTTTTGTAATAATTTAGGGAGGAAAACATTTATACAAGTACTTTTATCATTCTTTTTCCCATTCCTAATGTGAGATTGTACACATTTTTATAAAAATTTAAAAAAAAAATTTTAAAAAATCTATTAAAACCTCATGTGAATCCTTCTTCTACATCAATCTGACAAAACTAAAAAAATCAAACCACGATCCATTTCTTTTCCTCAACCAACAAAATTGAAAAGTTTTATTTGATGTTAATTTTTTTTTTTTCTCAATTCTTGTGACGCCCCAAAAAAAAAATTTTTTTTTTTTTTTTGAAACGTCATAAGATTTTAAATAACAATAACTTGCTAGATAAAATTTTAACTACTTTATAAATTTTAGCCTAAACTTAATAAGATGCATAAATAAGATGTCACTTTTGAACAGATATCAGTAAAATATAATTTTATAAATTATTTTAGGCCCTTCATTACATAGTAAATCCCAAATATCCAGAGTCAAGTTGCAAATAGTCTATCCATTAAGTCCATAAGTTTTTATCAATAAGTAATCCCATTATATATGAGATTTGCCAAATTACAATAATAAAGTATTTTAAATCCACCATTGACCCAATGCTCGTATCTATTTAGGTACCATACAATTCTAATTCTTATTTTTATACCTTATAAATATGATATGAAGCTCTTGAACCATATGATTCCATTAAACAATCATTGGAATAGCATACTTCCATAAAACATGTGAGATGTATTTATACGATTGGTTAATTTTTTGGAAAGCAAAGCCAAATTCCAATCATGAAAGTTGGAAGCTATCATAATATTATACTAATTAAAAATAGAATACTTTATAATAAATGATGACCACATGTCTTGATGAGGTTAAGCACATTTTTCCCAACCATTTGGTGGAGCACAATCCTCTTTTAGTTTGTTTTGTCACACCTATCAAGATTATCTCATTATTCAGTTAATTTAATCAAGCAGTTGGGGGATTAATGAAATTTCACTATTTGCACTTCACTCAAAAAATAAATGATTCAATTTCGTATTATAGATAAGATTTTACATTCCCCAAATATGACCTTGTCTAATGTAAAAATAGTGTTTGTATGTATAAAATTGTTAGGGGTTTAATCTGAGCAATCCAATTCCAAAAAAAAAAAAAAATTAGAACTTTGATAATAGAATTTTAAATTGAAAAATGTTAAAAATAGCCGATGGTGTTGAAAAATATATAAAATTAGGGAGCATTTACATGCAAGTCCTAATTTATGAACTTACACTTCATTAAGTTCTAACTAAAATTTTTTGAACCTTCAAGTCCCATTAAATTTTTAATAGTCGGAATTGCCCTTCAAACATTGATTTTGTTCATCATTTATGATTATCTATAAAGGAACATGATGATTTGACATATATTTTAATTTTCAAAACTTTAAATCATCAACTTTCAAATTAAGAAAACTAAAAGAAAAATGATGTGCAAAAAAAAAAAACTACTAATCTTTTTTAAAAAAAAAAAAAAACATTGAAAAAACTGAATTATTTTTTTAATGCAAAATTAAAAATTTTGTGTCTATAAAGGAGCATGATGATGGAACATTAATATGCAAAAAAAAAAAAAAAAAAACCTTTAAACATGAAAAAAACTGATAATGTTCTCAGTTTTAAAACTAGAAAAAACTATTAATTTTCTCGATTTTATTAGATAGTTGAATCAAACCAATAAGTAGAAGGGCAAAAACATTTAATTTCATACTATGTTTTTTTCATCAATTAGTGAAACAATTATCTGAAACATTACTATGCAAAATTGATAATATTTTTAGTTTTAAAAATTAGGAAAAACTGATAATATTCTCAGTTTTACTAAATAAGACTTACTGGTTCAAAAATCTTAAATAGGACATGAACTATCATAATATTTGTAAATAGGACTTGTATGTAATTAATTCATAAAATTATTTTAAATTGTGTAAAAAGTATATAAAAGTATTTTAAAACATGTAAAAAAGTATATTGAAATTATAAATATTTCATCATTTTTTATTTCTTATTGACAACTCTTGAGACTGTCATTAACATGACTCTTTTAAATTTAATCAATTTCTAAGATAACATTTTTCAAACCAAAATTTTGATCGGTATCTAGGCATAACTCTCACAATCCAAACAATCTGAATACTATTAGGGCCTGTTTGATTCCAGGATAACTACATAGGATTGGATTGTTAATCCTATCAAATTCATATTCCTACACATGGATCACACAAATAGCATCTGACTTAGTAATACGTAAGGCTCTTAATCCTACAAAATTGTAGTATATTTAATACCAAAGGAGGGCAGGTATTAACAATCCTTTGCATAATTATACCATGAGATTATTAATCTCATGGGATGGTTAATCCTATCACTAACAATCCACCTAATCAAACAGGGCCTTAATATACAAGGATAAATTATAAACACACCCTCTAAAATTTGCTTAAAATATGAATTGTCTGCTATAATTTTTAAAATTACACCCCCGCCTCCTAAGGTTTCTAATTTCATAATAAATAACTCATTTTATTAATATATCATCAAATTAATTAACATTTTTTAATGATGTTAAAAATATATTTCAATTAATAATTTAAATAATTTTATTATTATATAAGAAAGCAATTAGAAAAAAAAATTAGTTAATTCTGTTAAATAAAAAATGGGTAAATTATACTGACACACCCTGAGATTTGGTCCAATTACATCCCACCCCCTGACGTTCTGAAAATTACATTCCCATCACTGTGGTTAATAGTCTCATTTCACAAATCCCCCTGCTTATATAAAAAGCAACAACTCCTAATAGAAAAATAGAGGAAATTGCATTTAAACACCCCCTCTCCAGAAAAGGGGAAAAAAAAGAGAAAGTAAAACAAAGCAAAAAAAAGAGAGAGTGTATGAGTTCAATGTCTTCATTCCGTCTAAAATTAAAGAAAACTAGCAAAATATCCCCAGATATAAACCTTAGAACCCAAAAAGAAGATCTGGAGAAGTTATCCTAGATTTGGACTGAAAACACGTATTTATAGAAAACTGTCCTGGGATCTCCGCTCGAGCGCCCAACAGCCCGTTCGAGCGGTTTCAGCAAAATATGTGTGTGACAAAACAGAGGTCCGCTCGAGCGCTTGAGAACCCGGATGTTGTTTGGGAGGAGATAGGGGATGGACTCCACTGATACAGCTCATATGCTTGTCAGATAATGTGTTGATATAGCTCATATGCTTATCTTTGGAAGTGTTGATACAGCTCATATGCTTGTCATTGGAAGTGTTGATATGGCTAATATGTATATTTGTTGAAATGTGGATATAGCTTGTATGCTTATTTGTTGAGTTATTGATATAACCAGTGTGTTTATCTATTGTAAAATGGGAAATGTTTAATATGAGTCATTGTCTCATATAAGTGGTTGGCCAGGTTCTGAGCCGTTGGTGTAAATTGTGTAATTGATAAGAAATGGAAAGTGGAATGGAATGGTAATGGGTTATGAATCGGTTTATGGAAATTGAACATTAATCAATTGCTAATGTCTTAGTCATTGCTCATACTGTGTTTAGCATATCTCTACTGGGCTGTGGCTCACCCTTTATGGGACATCATTTTTAGGTACAGGTAGCATGCCACCTCCAAGAACATAGCTTGGGAGGCTAGAGGCAGGCGGATTGTTTTGTTTATTTTCTTTTGGTGTATTACATGTAAAATTCAAGCCAAGGGCTTAATATGTAATGAGTTAGCACTCTCCTTTTTGTAACCAAGTGTTAACTTGGAAAGTTGTAAGCCCATAGGGCATTTGCTTTTGTTGTTAACATGTAATACTTTTGTAAGGAACTACTCTAATGTATAGAAGAGTGTTTATCTTTTATACCAATGCATGTCTATGTTGATGGGTTTTAATGTTATTATTTTGAGGGCGTTACATACTTATAGGTAGCTACCACACACCGCCACCATGTCGTCTTTGTCTCTGGTGGCTTCAGAGAGAGGGTTTGAGACCCCCGACACACCTTGTGGGTGCTGTGAGCACAGCAGGGACTCTTCAGACTTGGTTGCTTTGAAGATCAGTCTCTTGCGTGATTCCCAAATTGGGAAAACTAGTTTTCTAGCAAGTGCATTTGTTTTTTGTTTTGTTTTGTTTTTTTTTGTTTCTTGGAAATGTTGTTTTATGCTTTCGTGGAAACCGAACATAGCATATTAAAATGTTGTTCTTGTTCTAATTTTTTTTTTCTTGTTTTGTTATTCATTGTAGACAAAGTATGTTGGAGGAGAGAGACAAGAAGAAGGATTTGAGATATCAGATTCAGGACTAAATCAGATGGATAAAACACTCTGTGTTGGAGGGGCACGTATCGCTTATAGAATCTGGGAGGTTGCAGGTATGCATGGTTCCTTTGCATAATAATTTACTGAATAATAAGTCTACAGATACAGAACTAATCGTAAAAAAAAGAAGGGAACGATCTGAATAAAATCATATCTCTATTGACGAGCCTTTACATCTGATGTTGATTGATTCTATCTCATCGCTAAACTTTTTATGATTGAAATGGCAATGTATGTATATATATGTACTGATCAACTATAATTTTGAATGGTGTACAAGGAGATGAAACATCCCAGAATCACATTCCAAGTGCTTGTAAAGACTCGGTAACAATGTTATTCATGTTTGATCTAACAAGTCGGTGTACTTTAAACAGGTAACGTTTCAAAATGCCTAAGGTTTTCATACATTATGAATCATGATTATAAAATTGTAGTTGTTATTTAGGTTTGAATAATAAAGTAAACTCATGAGATTACTATTTAACTCTCTCTGGGTTTGCAGTATCGTCGGATGGGATCAAGAATCAAGGAAATGGAATCAAGTACCCATGCTTCGTTTCACCACCTCATGGGATCTTTTTAGGGAAAATTTCAATTTAGTATACATTATAATAAAATAATTATCGATAAGTGATAAGTTTTACAAATGTTAATAATTAAAGTTATAATTTATTATTTTACAAATCTATAATAACTGTCTAAAAGTACTACTGAGTGGTAATTTCCCTATCTTTTTACCCAAATCTCTCTGTCTTCTAGTAGTAATATATTCCCAAAAAGTAATGATCTACAAACCCATGTTTATGAAGAACATTCCGTACGCGGTATGGCCATTATGAGTTTCTGGTGATGCCATTTGGGCTTACCAATGCATCCATGGTTGGTTTAGTGTATTTCTACTGGGCTGTGGCTCACCCTATATGGGAATATCATTTTCAGGTACAGGAAGCATGCCACCTCCAAGGACATAGCTGGGAGGCTAGAGGCGGACATGTTTTGTTGTTTTACTTTTGATGTATTACATGTAACTTCAAGCCAAGGGCTTAATGTGTATCGAGTTAGTACTCTTTGTTGTAACCAAGTGTTAACTTGGAAAGCTGTAAGCCCGTAGGGCATTTTGTTATGATGTTAACATGTAATACTTGTGTAATGAAACGCTAATGAATAATAGAAGGTGGATTTGTTTATATGTCAACGCATGTCTTATTTGATGGGTTTAATGTTATTATTTTGAGGGCGTTACAGACCTTGTCTCTAATTCATATTAACTAAAGTTTTTGTAATTGTTGTAGACGGCAATTCTAGTACTCATAGGGACTAAATTCGACGATTTTGTACAATTACCGATAGATGTTTAGTGGACAATTGCAAGTCAGGTAAGATATATTTGATCTCTTCTAATCATGCAAAAATATGCATATAACCGATTCAGACACAAAATATGTATGACTAAATTAACAATCTCCAAAATCTTATCTATTTACAAGTATTTTGTGTCAAAATGTAGACCAAGCTGGTGAGAATCATGGATCAATTAACTGAGAAATTTTATAGCGATCCCGGGTTTACCCTTGTTGTATTTGCATCCTCTTTACTTTATATATTGAGTTATAGGATGTGTTGGGCATGCTTGTTTCAGGTTGGTTGTGTTTGGGAGCCAAGTGTTGCTGCCCAGATTTTTGGCCTTTCGCTCGAGCGAGGAGTTTGTCGCTCGAGCGAGCGTTGAGTCAGTGTCTGGACCTGAGAGTTGTGTTTCTTGGCTCGAGCGAGCTTTTCTTGGCTCGAGCGGTCTGGTTTGCTCTTCGCTCGAGCGAGATGTTTGTCGCTCGAGCGTGCTTGTGGTTACAGACCTGAGGGTTCGAGTTGTTGGCTCGAGCGAGCATTCTTTCGCTCGAGCGCACGTTTGAGTTTTTGGCTCGAGCGAGAAGTTCCTTGGCTCGAGCGAGAGTTTCTGTGTCTGGTCGCTCTCACTCTAAACTTACATTCTCTCTAAGATTTGATCTCCCTAGGGTGTGAATCTAGCCTAGGGCCTTTATTAAAAGGATAGAGGGCGTTGAGAGCTTTGTTTTAATCTGAAAAAGTTTGGATTTGGAGCACGTTGATCTTCGAGTCTTCATCTCCTTTTTGGCTCAAACTTCGAGGTAGGGATACCTACTCCTCTTTATGGATTTTGTCTTTAAATTTTGGTGTTTTAAGATGTTGGGGTTGGTTGGGTAATTTCTTGAAAGTTTGGGGCTTTTGTGTAATTTTACAAAAAGTTGGGGTTTTATTCATAATAAACCTGAATGCATGTTTGGCATAGAGGAATGGAATAAATGTTGAATTGTTGATGTTAATGGGACCTAAGGGTTGAAATGTTAATTATGGGAATTGACCTAATTACATTGTTTAATTAATTGGGATAATTAATTGAGAAGAATGAGGAGATAAAATGTTGATTGAATATCCATTGTGCATTTATTTTCTGTTTAGAAATAACTGCTTTGGGCTATCGGTGGAGGATAGTCGTGATTGTTGTAGACAATGCATGATGATTAGGCAAACCGAAACTAATCAATGGAATGTGTCATGGAACTTGACGGTTGATAGAATACATTAATTGTGTGTATTGTGTGATTGTATATAGAGCCAATGTGTTTATATACGTTATGTGTAGAGGAGGAGATAGGGGATGTACTCCGCGGTTTAGGGGAAGATAGGGGATGTACCTCTAAACCGGATAGTGTTGGGAGAAGATAGGGGATGAACTCCGTAGATACAGCTCATATGCTTGTCTAGAGAAGTGAAGATAGAGCTTATGCTTATCTTTGTGAAGTGTGGATACAGCTTGTATGCTTATCTGTTTGGGGGGAAAAAATATTTTTTTTGGGTTCTCTTTTCAAAATCCGATTATGGAATAAACAACCAATAATGTTGGTCCAAACGAATGTAGGATCCGCTCTGCTATGCTTATAATGTGGATTTGTTGATTTTTTCACCCCCATATTTCTGTTGAAAAGCTGGATTGCCTTTTATGCTTACCTCTGAAATGTGAGATATACCGTTTTTATACCATATCAGCTGGACAATTGAATGAATAGTAGCTAGGCATACCTTACACTGTATGCAACAAAAGGGGAAACTCCATCATCAGCATGAAAAGACTTGGGACTCTGAGTAAGTTCGTCTGAGACATAAATATGTAATCATAAGTATGCGACTTAGTTTCGTGTTTTAAATCATAAGAATCAAACTACAATTTGCTAATATTGTTACGTCCCTTATTGTCGCCATGGTTTGTATTAAGTGTCTTTTTCTAACGTAGCGGCTGCTGGACACCGCCATTTTGGTATAGGGAACCTATCATTTTTATAAGTGTACCGGTAAGCATGCAACCTTCAAAAGGATCAGTGTTCCTTGTGGGAAGGGCTAGAGCGGAAAATCAGTGATGGAGTTGCTTTTAACCTTTGATGTATTACACTAATTGAAGCCAAGGGTTAATGTGTAACGAGTAGAGTCCTTCTGGTTGTGAGAAACAAACGTATCTACTTTGGAGGAAAGCATGTAAGACGTCCGATAGGGCGATTATGATTTGATGTATAAATGAGGTAATACACACTTAGATAGTATATGACTACCAAATGAAATAAATTGAATGGTGGTTGTATTTAATGATATATATTAGGCGTTAACTTGGTATCAGAGCGACCGGGTCGAATACTTTTGGGTCGTTGGGAAGGTGATATAGGATTCGACAATGGTTTTCTCGCCGTGGATAGAATGGACGTATGATGTACGTCACCATATGCTATGCTGTTTAATTTGATAACATGCTATGTGACTATGTGAGGTATGGGATTTAATTTCTTGGCAATGTTGATCGGACCCTTGAGTTTAATGGGAGTCTTGTTGGAAAAGCCTTGATCATTGCTGTTTCTAACCGGAACTTGTAACCGCCTCGGGACAATTAATTATCCGGAAACCATGAAGTTCTAAGGTGCTATAAGTGGTTCGAGAACTTATTGTTTGGAGTGTTAACTTACAGTTGTTCCATGCCATTTCAGTTAACTGTGAGTGTCTTAGTTTCGGGCAACATTATGAATCTTGCCTCAAACGTCTGTATTGACGATTTAGAGGGATGTCAGGACCGGGGAAGAGCAGTGCAGGAATCGTTGAGGGTAGGAGGCCTGCCCGTAGCAGGATAGATAAGCCAAGTTCCTGGGTGAAGAATATACTCCCGAATGCAGTGTCCGCGAGAGGTAGTTGCGGCAGTTCGTGATTTACCAGGCAATATGGTTTGTTTTGCGTGACTTTGAGTGTTTGGGATGAGGGCCAGTAGGGGGTTTTAGTGCAGCAGCTGAGGTTCAAGGAGGCTCGCCCTTGCCAAGAAGAGTGAGAACTAAGAGGCGCTTTAGGTATCTTAGAGCTGGGAATCAGGCAGCTGAGACTGGGCTCCTTCGGCTTGGTGTATGCGTGGAAGGCAGAGATGAGTTCGTTGTCGTCGTGATAATCCGGTCCGTAGTTTGTTCGGGGAGTCCTTGGAATAGAGCCGCTTAAGGCAGATGATGGTCGAACAGTTGACACAGAAAGACGTTTGAGATGTCACTTGGCCACTCGAGGACGGAAGCATGAAGTGACCTGCATCCCTCATTCTGAAGGGAGGAGTGCGTGGACAAGGCGTAGGATAGTACGAGAAGTGGGGGGTGGGAGCTCGAGTGTGTGGGGAGGTCATTTGCAGAGACTCGTGTTGTGAATGCTTTTCAGGAGAGGTTATTTATCAAGGCGGAGCTATGGAGAAAGTGATAAAGCAACTGGCTATAATCAAGAACAAGGGAGATTGTCGAGCGGACGAGTTTGAGGACTACTTTCCGCGAGTCGGCTGTTTCTAGGTTTGCACTGAACTGGTGGCGTCTGAGGACGCGTTCGCTTATGAGTTTTGGTGGAAGCAGCGGGAAGAAGTTGGGAAGGGGCAGGCCTTTTACAAGGTTGGGAGAATTTGGTGGGTCTTATCATCGAGAGTATAGACAACCCGTAGTGAGTGAGGTGGGCCTTGCATTTGCGTTGATATGTGAGCTTTGATGCAGGAGGAGATGAGGGTCGGAGAAGGAGGCCCCCAAGAGCACGCACAGGATACGGTCAGAATAGGATGGGTATGGTCAAACAGAAGTATGGCAGGAGGAGAGGGGTTTAACCCTCCAGCAGTTCTAGGGTGGCGTCCTCTAGATCGACCTTTCCAGTGCCGAGTGTAGGCTCGGGGAGAGGCAGTCAGGGGGAATTCATTGTTACAAGTGTGGCCAGCTGGGTACAGGTATTCTGTTAGCCACTGAAGAAGGAAAGGTAGGGGGTAGAAGCTAGCTTGCTTATCTTCAGTTCTAGACACTGAGAAGGAGTCATAGTTAGGCTATGTACATGCTTTTTACAAGGACCACACTGATATAGTAATTTACCAGTGGTGCATCAAACGGTCGGGTCACTATCTGTAGAGAGGTTTTGCCCACAAGTTGATGAAGGACTAGGAATGCAGCGTATGGGTCTCCTCTTACAGACAGACGAGCCACAGCGTTTCTCAAGCAAAAC